TTAGATTTAAATAATAATTAACTATAAATTGTCTTCATTTATATAAAAATCACTAATTTCCGTAAAACATTATTTTATAAAATTTGTCGTTTCTATAAGTTTATTTGTGACTATATATAAAAATTTTACTTAATAAATATGGCGACAATGAAAGTTAAACTCTTAAATGTTCGTATCTTTCAGTCGACTTGAAAAAGTCCGTTATTCTATTCTTTAATGTGTTTACTATAAATTCTTTTATTATTCATTAATGCATATATAGAGTCTCTTGCTGATAAGCAATAAAACTCGATGTCGATTGATGAACATGTAAAAAGCTATTAGCGAAAACAAACATGATCATCGAAAAGCTTCAAGAATACGTATTTATTTGTGCTGTGCAGGTTCAAGAGATCATTTTATCAAAAGTGAACCTTAATCCATTTCGTGAAGCCCTCATGCGGCTGATATGGTAAGCTTCGTTTATATCATCGATCGGTAACTGCCTCAAACAAGTCACATGGTGATCATCACCGGTTCTAATTCATTGTTTACACATTTTCTGACATGTACACAAATACACTAAAAGTACGGAAAAATTTACTGAGATAGAGTACTCAATGAAAGGCGTTTTATTTTGGTTTGTAATATTTTCTACGGCTTTAAAAAAGTATTTCATTTTAGATTTCAATTATTTCCTATTGTACAAGCTTTACATTAAAAAACATTTTATTTTAGTTGAGTGAATTGGCATCATGAGATCGCAATATAGGAGTCTGTACGTAACGTTTTCAATAATATATTTATACGAAGAGAAGCGTACAAATCGTATCATCAGTCAGGAGCTTAAATACTGCTCAACAGAGCTTTTGCCCTACAGAGAGCTGCCACATCTCTCGGGTACGTGTTTTCTTGAAACCTTAATATGGATTTTTCTAAGGGAGCGACCGCAATCGTTGAATCGTTTGCGTTTTATCAAATGAAGTATTCACGTCGGTAGTAAAAGTTAAAATGCATTCAGGTGTGAAACGAGGAACCGTGCAAAGGTGTAGGCAAATAAAAGTGTCGACATGGCAAGACTTTATTGCCGGTGCGCCATTGCTTCGAAGCTGGTTTAGTCAGTTCAGCATTAATGTGCCCGATGTAAATCGAGCTTCGTGTTCTTTCTTTCCTTTGCACTCTCCTTCAGATCGTTATGCTTTCAGTACATTGGTCTAGCAAGAATGTTCTTGTGCTGTCTTCATTGTACTTCTGTATGCAGTTCTTTCCTTGGCAGTCACCCGTGAATAATGGCGATTTTATTGTGACAAAGAATCCTTTTTTTTTTTGCCTGCCATTCAAACTGCATCACTACGTTTTTCGTCGAGCCAACATTGAGACAACAATGAGTTACAATTATATACTATTTTGTATCATCATTCATAAAAACAATGGAAAATTTTTCCTTTTGATACATGAAATGCACATGCTTCAATTTAAAAACAATTAACATCACATCGTTACCGGTATGTTCATTTTTATAATTGTTTCTTTCATTGTATTTGGTTTATACCATATTTATAAATTGAGCTCAAATGAAAATAGATATTATAAGTTATGTAACACATTAGATTCTCAGTCTTGACTTTACATCAATTTCTTAATCTTCAGAAGTTACGCGGAAAAATTTCTTAAACAAATCATTAAACTTTCAGAAAGCATAGAATTCATCTCTATAGAATTTTAAAATAGATCCTTCTTTGAGATTTCTTTTGTTAAAAGTAAATGTAATTGTATTGTGCTTTGATGTAAACAACTTCGTAAATTTCTGAAAAGAGATTACTATTTTTTACAGGAAAAATGGAACTCAAGATTTCTTATTGGAATCGATTAAAATTCGCTAATATCATACGACAATTTATGTTCGTGATAAGAGATTGTACAGGAGATTGTGGAATGTGTCCAGCTGGGCTTATTAGTTGCACCTGCATGAACACGTGAAAGACCATACATGTGGCTTTGCAACATGGCGCATGTGCTGAAAGATACATATAGTACATTTACGCACTACCACGACTGACAATGTGCGGTTAGATACATACATTATAATATACAAATGAGCTATTCCGAAATAAAACCCTTAGTTTTCTGTAGACTCTGATAGTTGTTCGTTAGACCAACTTGGGAGTTTCGTATTTTTGGTTCATACCACTTTTTTATTTAGTGAGAAATATTAACTTTTTTATCCGAATCATGCCTTTTATTTTAGTGCTTGCAAGTACTTTGCATTTTAGTGCAAAATTCTTAGACAATGGGGATACTGGATCACGTTACATCATTTGTATAATTCTTCAAAAACGTTGTTTACATGTAGGTGAAATTTCGTAGGAGCTGGTTTCAAACCAATTAATCTATTAATAAGTTCAGTTTGACGATGAAACAATGTAGGAAGAGAAATTTAATCAACAAGCCCCTTTATCGTATGAAGAGATTAAATTGCATTTCAAGTCTGAAATGTTGTTATACTTTTTTGTTTCGTTCAACCGAACAAAAACTTGAGAGTTTTGATTGACAATTTTACAACGCACTTCGTATATAAGAGGCTATTTTTGAGTCTGGACATTAGGCAATGCTATCTATCATTTGTAACAATACGATATTGACATTTTATCGAGTACGATGTAGTATTGTAGTTTTACTTCAATCGTACGCTTCAGCTTTACGTCGTAAACTATTTCTATTGTTTCTTCATAGTTATCCCACTAGACGATGGATCATAAAGAATAAAAAATAAAAAAAAACGATGTTTTTTAGAAATTTCTTTCACTGCTGGAAAAATTGATATATTTTCTTACTTTTATTCTTCATGAAATATCCAACGTCTAGCTAAAGAGACTAGACTGTCTTTAAATTCTCGATAGTTTGAATTTGTTACACGAAGTTATGAGATGTGGCCTTTCACAAACTTTGAGATTTGATTTTTTTTAGCAAGGTGGAATATCATTATGTTTTTATGCAAAAAAGTATTGTATATATATGTTTAATATTTTTTCAATTTACTAGAATTATTGCTTTAATAATTATTTGAATAATGGATTTATAAGGGTCACTGTATATGTGAGCGAAGCAAAGAGTTAAACAGCCAATGAACCGATCATCCCGGTTTTGGCATTTTTCGTTCACTCTGATATTCTCTACACCGCACCAGTGAGCCACATGATCTCGCTGATAACAAGGCAAAAGACTGCAAACCTATATATAAAAATAAGATATCTCCATTTTTATCGAATGATATTTAATATTTCAATATTTCAATTCCATAACTGAAGATTAAAAAGAAAGATTTGGAAATAGGTATTTCCTTCAAAATTATTATAATAATATTTAGGAAAGGCATTCAAATTTTTTGTTAGTTATAGGGAATGTCTAAAATCGTTGGAAAAAGAAGATAACGATAATTGATGAAGCGAATATGAAAAAAGAAAAAACGAATCGTTAAAAGTGCATTAAGAATATGGATAACAGATAGTGGAAAAAGTTAAGGTATGGATCGTGTTTATGACTTTATATAAGGGATACGTTATCGTCGAATACCCTGGTACGTGACTCCTTCAAGCTCGTATTGCTCCGTTTACAGGCGGAATAAAAGCATAACGTTAGTATGTATAACAAAGCAAACGAAGTACTGAAACTTTTGCAAGTGATTTAATATTTTTGAACTTCAGTATTTCGTGAAGCATACTCTGTAAGAGTATAGAGATATATTTCTTGCATTTAAAGATGTACTAAAAAGATTATATTTATCGTACAATTGATTCTAGATTTTACATTTAAAATTAGTTTTACTTTTATATTTAAACCAACAGCATTTCAATACGAAGTTATATTAAATTTTTAGTACTTTTGTAATCTATTGAACAGTCTCTTAGTTTTACATAGAATTTCAAAAGCTTTTATTCAATATATCCTTTCAGGTGATTTTTAAAGTATAATTGAAAGTATTATCGGAGGATGATGGAGAAGATGTTGCATATCATATAATAGGAACGTTAAACGATAGTGTCAGATAAGCGTATCTGGTTGGATGTAGAAGGGAACAGCAGTTTGCATTGATACCGGTATTTCTCGTGGCTCGAGCCTAACCGACAGAATTCAGATTCCATTTGGCATTCTCGAGAGACAACGGCAGCTGTCGGAATGCACCCGAATCATCTCTACTGTATAAACACATACAACGTAACGTAAACACACACTTGCAGAATAGCATAATCTCTCTCTCCTCCCTCTCTCTTTTCCTTTCTCATCTTGCTTTCATATCTTCTCTTGTATCCATAAATACTTAATTTGAAACTCTTTAATAACAATAATCTATGATTTTATTCATACAAAATAACCATGGAATAATTCTTATTTACCTTAAATTTTGTATTTGAATATTTTTGCTTTTTTTTAACTTCACACACATACAAACACACACACATATATATATATATTTAATACATCTTCGTTAGTCTGCTGACATTTCTCAGTTGCATATATCTTTTGATATAAAATATATAAATTAATCAGAAACAGCGAACAGGCATATTACTGCCATTAATCACGCATGTTTGAAAGCTATAATAGAGAGTCGGAAGAGAACACAGCAGCGAATATGATTTGTTCTCATATAACACTTCTTGATATCATTTTTTTATTATTAATCATGGATCTACTCATAATTCTGAGTATGAATTCTAAGCAATTAATTTTCCTTTTCATTAAAAAACAAACTACATTCAGATTTTACTCCAAGTTCCATTAAAATTATATGCTAAATCATTACATTTTTTTTCTTTTTTTTTTTGACATCATTCAAATTTCAAAATCATTCTGTCAGTTTGTAGCAATGTTATCTTTTTATACCTAATAAAATTCGAGCGTTTGGAACGTTGTAGGTTTGAACGAGGAAAGAATTCTAAAATAGGATATCAACTATCAGCAATTTACTCACTGATCCCATAATATCGTCGTTCAATATTTAACAAATTTTGCCTGATTCGCAAACGACGATCTACGCAGGCAATAGCAGAGGCAATCATTCAAGCCGATTTATCACATGGCCCGAGCGAACACCGGCGGTCATACATTCTGACTCCAATTTACATCCGAAATCCATTTGGCCGATATGGCATTCGTCACGACATTTGGGTCGATCTACGACTTCTTGAGCACATTCCTTCAGTCGGTCACGCATCTCAGTTATGAAATCAACAGCACACGCACGTAGATTTTCCATGTGTGATTCTGCAGTTTAAGTCAGTGGCAATTCAACCGTGTGCAATACAAAGTCAAATAAATAACAAGGGAAATTGGATATACAGGGAAACAGTGACAAACAGCCAAACATCTCGAGTAAGACATATTAACTAGATTCCCGAGAGTGTTATAATCTCTCCTGTATGTCACTCGTTGCGCGCTCGGAATATACATGTACGTAGCAAGCAAAGATTTACAGAGTTCCTTTAGACAACTCTAACTATGAATTGATTTCAAACAAACAGGCTTGGATTAATTTCGGAACTTTATTCCAATACGATTACTTTCTAAAGCAATTTTATTGCATATTATTCTTCGAAATAATAATTTCAAAAGTATTCCTACGAGCTCCGATCTGGATCGTTATTAGTTTTCATTGGTAAACCAAATTGAAGATTTTCTTAATAGAATGGTAATAAGATTTCGTTTCTCTAGAATAATATTTCATAATATTTCTTAATTTGTAGAATGATAATATTGTAAACACTTTGAAGAATTTGTATTAAGTATGTATTTGTACGTAACGTTTTGTCAACAGAGATGTGAAACTACTGATTTATATTAAAAATAACATAAAAATGCTCCGAATCTAATAGACATATATTGCTTTTAAATCAAATAAGATGTGCTGGTATTTTCGCAAAGCAGTTCTATCAAGCATCCCATTTACGTACGTAGCTATATAGCAATTTTTTTCTTTTTTTTTTTTGTATCCCGCTACTACAGCAATTTGTCTTTCTTTCTGCTCCACGCGAGATCACCTTAGATATGTAGGATTCAAGTAGCCAAAGCACGCACGCACGCAAAAGTATCATTACACCATAAAACGTGAGCTGATCCTTTGAGAATAGCGATGCATATCGGTTAGCTTGTACATATTTTCATTGACATATTTCTTCAATTATGTGACTATAATTGCTCACGATATTGTTAAGGGATTTATATTAATATATTAATCTAAACGAACATATCTTATTTTTTAACATAGATGCTATTAAATAATATGAGAAGACCGTAAGCCAAATCGGATATCGATAAAGTCTGTCATAAAGCCCTATTAATTTCTATTCAAAATTTAATATATACGATTCCACCATTAATTCAAATCCCATATTTTTGGCAGAATTGATATAGCAGATGTACGTGAAAACACTAGTTCACAAAAAGTACTGCATACCATTTAAAAGTAAACTTAAAATTTCCTTACCTATAAAAAATTATTACTGGCAGTTACATTTTTCTTCATATTATAAAACTTTTATACGCAAAATGTTTCTGTATCTATAAAAATATCCAAAATAATCAAAGTTATGGAGATGTCCTGCCTGTTACTAGCCAGTATTTTTTTGTAAGGTAAATATTTAAGAAAGATGAAAAAGAAAATATTGTACAATGTTTTACAACAAACGTTTCATTTTTTTCAAACGAAAGATTATTTATTTCCTCGTACAAAAGAAAGTAGCAAATATATACTACATATTGTGTGTGTAAATGTTGTAGAAAAAGATATTTTTACAATGATACTCAGGGCATAGCTCATAATCAAATGCACGGTGTCACATAAATTAGAAAGAACGACACAACTGCGCCTTATCAGCCAAATTATGAAAATAGATGAATAAAATTTACTCCACAGTATTCTCATAATGATAACAGGAAAATCACGATTTTTAGTTGTGCCACTTTCGTCGTAAGTGTAAAATATCTGCATAAAAATGTTAATAGACAAACACGTAAAGAGTGAATATCATAAATATCAAAGAAGCAGTCTAAGAATAAAATTCCAAGGTATCCCATATATTACTGTCCATGCAAAAAAAAACTTTGACTTTGGAAATATTTGTTACAGTTTGCTCTATATGACAAGATAAATAGAAATAGAGATGAAAGAAAACCAATAACAGTTCTTTTATAATATCAGATATATAGATTCTCTTTATAATCCAGGCAAGTTTAATATAATTTTATTTTAATAATTCTTAAATGTGACTCTTTTAATTACATTAAGACGCCACTTTTAATAACAAAGACGCTAATATAAAACATAAAAAAATTAAAATATCACAATGATATTCATAATTATACAACGGGACAAAACTAATTTGAAAAATTTTTCACGAAGACAAATGGACATATTCATTATTACCTGTTTCTTCAAATTCATTTTTTTCTTTCTTTTCTAGTAGCTGATGACTAATCAAAATTTTAACACTCTTTTTATAAAAGATATATGTGCAAAAACTGGATCTGTAATCAGAATACACAATGATAAACGAGGTGTTCCTCGAACATTCGAGATTGAATCGTGAACGATCCGCTGTGAAAGAGACATCGATGCATCCTTGCCTCGTGTACTAAACGCTTCGCGTTAATGCTCCACTTAACTCTAAAACGGGCGTAAGACACTATCGCACTGTCTCAAGCACTCTTCATTCACACCAGAAATTCTATAGTCTACTATACACGTGGATACACCCGCAATGTATTCTGCAACGGTTTCAAAGGAAACGTAGTTGCTTTCTGTGTAATACTGTATTCTGCTAATTGTAACATATTATATAGTACTTATCTCGGTACAATGCAATCAAGATACGTGTTTAAGGTACGTATTTACAGGATAACAACATAACATTCAAACATATACTTGAATTACGATTCATCAGATATTTTTACAAATATCTAAATACATAAAATTCAACTACGTTGAGACGATTGAAGATGGATTTTTTTGAAAAACTACACCTGATGCCAGCAATAATTTTATGAATAAAAATTTGATCAACATATTGGTGAGATTTTGTTAAAACGAAATTTTATTGAAACGAAGGGTATTAGAATGTATTAGAAAATTTGATTCATTTAGATTGTAGATTCGCATTTCCTCTGGCAGAATACATATAAGGACATTGGAGAATCGCATCTGCCGTTCGCTAACTGCAGTCGACAGCTGTGCCGAATTCGAGTAGTTATCCAACACTGAAGTGATTTAAACTGGTTATTCTCGGACGGGACAGTCTTCTACACGCTTAGTACTCAGAATGAGGCACAGATTTGAGTAGTTATCGAAGTTAGCGACACGATTCTCTATATGTGACGAGTGAGAAGCGATTCGGAGAATCCATGTAACGTGCGGAGGTTTAACTGCATGTGGCAAGAATAGATATTCTACGTGTCAAAGCTTTAGAATTAGTATTATACTTTAATTCTTATTGGATTTTAGTTAAATTCAGATACTTGGATTTACAACATTATCATTCTTCAAAGTTTAAAATCTTTTGCTATTTATCTTTTAACTTCGTCGAATACACAATGATATATACAATGTAATACTAAATACTATTTATTTTCATTTTCTGAAATTTTTCAGATAATGAAGACCAGTTATTAATAGTAATTAAGAGTAAAAAGTGAGTTATCAATAGTGATTAAGTAAATGAATATAATCAAATCTTATAAATTATATCTCGTTTTAATCAGGAAAGTTTCATCCATTCTGTTGATGAAATTTTTATTATTCAAACAGCGAATAGAAAGAAGTCTTTTCCATTGTATTAGTGTTGCCACATCGATGTGTAAGTTTTTAATCTCTTTCAACTGCCTCGACCCTCAATCCTTTTCTTTCTTTCGCTCAGTAAACTCTGTGTCTGTTGCTGTCGGGAAAATACAAAGAACTTGAAGAATTGCGCCTACTATTCGCTAACTACTCTACAACGGACCCGGTTCTCGAGTCTCTCCATAGAGACTTTGCTGTATACATAATTTATGATCAAGCATAGGCACTCGTTTGCACGAGGATTAGAATAAGTTTGGAAAAAATTTGTCGATATAAAGAGATTTGTAGTACATAACAAGTGCTTTGTGACCATGTGATAACAATAAATATCTCATAATGACAATAAATATTTTATATTACAGGACCAACTGTAACAGCAAAGGCAGTTCTTCAAGGTACAGCAGAATTACCATGTGACATCCGTCCACCACGACAGAATGACTCTGCAATTCTAGTTGTTTGGTACAAAAGCGATATCACACCTATTTACAGGTAAGCAGCAAACTTGTTGATGTAAAAAAATACACTTTGTATTACATTTTAATTAGTACTCTTTACGTTGCAAAGTTATACAGTAGGCTTTCAAAATTGTCATCGGTTACAAATAATTGTTTCAGTTACGATATGAGAGGGAAACATTCTGAAAAAGCTTCCCATTGGAATGACAAGGACCATTTAAATGACCGGGCATTCTTCAGGATAGTTACTGAACCAGCAACATTGAACATCAATCACATCGAAGAAAGAGATGAAGGCGAATACAGGTGTCGAGTAGATTTTGCCAAGAGTCCTACTAGAAATTCCAGAATTCATCTGATGGTTATAGGTTTGTATTACATGGACCTCTGTATGTAGGCATTGAATTCATTGCACTTTATCATCACACGATAGCAATATAATAACTATAAACGGACTTTTCCAATTATGATTATTATTATATCGTTTGCGTTGTCCCTGTTATTATCTCTATGTACCATAGATGCACTATATTTTAAAAAAGGAGATTCAGGGGTACATTACTCATGTACTGCTTCTCTGATGTTTACTGAAACTTTATGATCTCGCAAGTAATCCGTTGTGAGTTTTAGAATATTCTGTGGAACCTTTCTTCGTTTCAACTCGTTAAATATAGATTTTAGTTTAAATATAGATTTAGGGTAGCCTAAAGCTATTAAAGGAGTTTTTTACGTCTATAAGAATGACTACTCATTCCTTTCCCTTTAATGGCATTTCAAAATATTTCATAGTTTCTTCAATTTTGTCAATAAATGATATATTACAGTACCACCGCACAAACCAAACATTATCGATGAACATGGAGCAACTGTGTCAGCGGTAGCAGGCCCATACGAAGAAGGCGGTGATATGAAATTACAGTGTCTTGTTTCTGGAGGTCAGTTTTCTTTATGTTAAGAATAAAAAATGATGCTAAGACATTTAATAACAATAAAATTTTACCAACTCGTTACCAACAATTTTATGCTGCTTTTCAGGTCGACCGGAACCGAAACTAAGATGGTGGCGCGGGGAGATGCTTCTAGATTCAAAAGACGAAGCAGGAGAATTTCCATCTCTTCGTAGAAATACTTTAATAGTGAGAGAACTTTCAAGAGCTGATCTTCATGCGGTATTTACTTGTCAAGCATCTAACAACAACATCAGTCAACCTGTGTCTGCATCAGTTGCAATTGAAATGCATTGTGAGTTCTGTACATAATATTCTATTTAAACACCACTATTCGATTGAAAGACCTAATGAAATACGTTTCGTGAAAATTGGCCTTTCAAATCTTACCGATCTACATTTAATATACACTATATATATATATCTTTCAGTGAAGCCATTGTCTGTAACAATATTAAGTAGTGAGCATGCACCCCTTAGTGCCGGGCGAAAATATGACATAAATTGTATGACTGTTGGATCAAGACCGCCAGCTAAGCTATCTTGGTACATGGATGGAAGGAAACTGAATAATTACACGGAAAAGGTATTTTATTTTTTCTCATTTACTTTAAAAAGATCTTCTCTGACACATGATTTATGATTATAATTTGCATTACACGTTTATGCGTGAATTGCATTACACGTTTATAAAATGAATTCAACGAATTTGTATTTATCTTCACATGTTAAAGGTGTCTCAAGATGGTAATATGACAAGTTCCACGTTAATACTGAAACCAACATTACTTGATCATGACAAAATAGTCATCTGCCGAGCAGAAAATTTCAAAGTTCAACGAGGTATAGTTGAAGACACATGGAAGTTAAATGTGTTTTGTAAGTATAACATTCTTTTATATATTTATCAGGAATATGCACTATTGTAATTTCAATTTTTTACAAATGTTACAATATAATATTTCTTTGATATTACATATATGGATTACATAAGGATGAATTATAATCTGGACGGACGTGAAGTTTCGGAACAGTTAGGCAAAGATCGTGAAAGTCTCTTTAAATAATCCTTGATTGAATGAATAACTACGCGACAAAGATTACGAAATGCTGTATCAAATTATATATAAGTAATTCATTGTTTGTTATGCAATATTTTTAATGCACTTTCTTGTTTTATCTTTCAGTTGTTCCAATTTTACATCTGGAGTTAGGATCGAATATGAATCCAGACGATATTGAGGAAGGTGATGACGTATATTTTGAATGCAAAGTTCATGCTAATCCTGGCGCTTACAAAGTTATATGGAAGCATAATGTAAGTTTTAGTTGAATATATGTACAATCATTTCGTAATTAAAAACAAAAAGCTCGAAGCCAAGATTAAATATGATTATGTAAATGTGTATAACGAGGATTGAAGTACAACAACATGATCTATTTCAAACTATTCAGTAAGTGTGATATTTAATGTAGAAAGTTAATGTTATCACGGATCAAAAGCAATAGCATGTAGCGTGCGTTGTGAAATATACAGAAAATGTGTAACATGCTTATTTTCGAGTATCCATGCATTTATTTTTTATTCCATTCATACGCTTTCTTTTACTCTCATTTTTAGAATATTTTACGCAGAACAACGATACTATTTTCATTTATATTATTTAAAATCAATTTCACCTTTTACGCTCCTCCATTTATTTACCCATTATTGTAAGTTATATGTTAATTATGACGTTACCATCCGAAAACTTCACGTCCATTCAAGTATCGCTTCACCTTCTTGAAGAAAAGACGCGTTGAAGATGCATGGAAATGGAAGGAGAGGCGTACTTAATATCATTAAATTTCTTCTCAGAAGCTACATTACTTTATTGCTAGCACATTTTACTGAATAATAGAGCAACAATTACAGTTCTAGTCAAAATCAACTTATTATCGTAATTGCTCCCTAGTACAAAATAGCCTCCTTTTCTAACAATTTCAATGAAGTAAAACAAAATAAAACTTGTATAACACAAATGTCAGAAGAAACGTTTCGCAAATTTAATTGATTAATATAACAAATACGCTGTTACAGGGGAATATTATTCAAAACAACGCAAAAAATGGTGTGATTGTGCAACAATATGGCTTGGCTTTGAGGGAGGTCAATCGTTCTCAAGCAGGCAATTACACTTGTATTGCCAGCAACGTCGAAGGAGATGGTTACAGCAATACTGTCGAGCTTAAAATTATGTGTAAGTTTATTTATAAAAATATAATGTGCAATTAACATTTACAAAGCTATTTATTGATTAAAAATCGACGTTGATCAGATTTATGATACAGATTTGCTACTTTTGAGTTTAAGATTTTAATGTGTGTCTTACGATCGTCGTTCATTTTTTGTTCGTGCATCGAAACATTTTCCCTAAGTAATTCAGCATTGTGTTCGTCTATTTTAGATAAACCTATTTGTGTAGCGGAACAAAAACGAATTTACGGTGTAGCCCGTCACGAAGATGCTCGAATAGTTTGCAGCGTCGAGGCATACCCATCTCCGGATAGTTTCCGTTGGACATTCAACAATACAGAAGAAATGGTTGATGTACCTCAGGCGCGGTACAAGAACTCTACACGTCACAGTCAAAGTATTCTTATTTATCGACCAATTACAGAAATGGATTACGGTACGGTGTTCTGTTGGGCAAGTAATACTGCTGGTCAACAAAAGAACGCCTGCATATTTCATATCATTCCAGCAGGTATGTTTACATATTATAGTGAATTATCGTAAAATAACTGTCAAAAGAAATTATAGGATACCTGATAGAACAAATAAAAACTATAAGATATCCAATTGTAAACCTTCAAGGGGCGACTATTTCCCAAACTATTCGCTGTTCAAAAGAATGTCACGAGTAAAAGTGAAATGTAAAATATACCGAAGTGTAGAGGTGCATTTCTCTTTTTTATATTTTCTACAATAATCGAGGAAACATGAATTTCAAACGTCAGAGGAAACGAATGAAAATAATAGGCAAATACAAGAACATATTTTGAACATTAAATAGTTATATCTGCTTCATTACCAATAACAAATCTAAATGCCTTATCTACCTTTTACACATATACATACATCCACACTTCCTCTCTAATCCTCTTCTCATCAAAAGAGATGTAAATATGAATTATTCTAACTTACTTAATACAGCCCTAATCTCAACCTAGAAGCTGCATTAGTCTAGTGCATATAGACGATTTTCATTTCAATATCTGAAATGATACAAGTAATAGTAGACGTGTAATAGCTTCGTTAATTCATCCGACAATTCTTTATGATTCGATGACTATAGAATTTTAATTAGTTCCTGAACAGCGTGTTCTATATGTACGTTGAATGTACGTAGATATTTAGGTGTTTAGTCGACTGTATTCCTACTCGTGAATTGCATAGATATGACTACTATTGTTAGCGTATAACTGCTAATGTCAGTATGATGAATGAATAGTCCGATATCAGATTCTAATTGCTCTGTATGTGAATAAGGTCAGGTATACCTTTTGTAACGAAGGAATCAAGTAAATCAGTTTGACGTTATCTATAGATTAGCGCTAATAATGAATGCGTTTGCTAGTATAATTTCTTATAGTTCTTTATCTTTATCTACATTTGGTTTCGAAACTACGAAATTATTTCTGTATCTGTTTTTCATTTAAATCGAATACAGGCAGATCTGTTGTAATCTTGCTTGGCAATTATCATGTATCTAAACCTAAATTATTACATATCTTGTCATTAGTACAATTCTTAACTAGGTAGAGATATCTTCAAAATTTCAAGATTTAAGCTTTATATCTCTTAAGTGACATTGTATTATTCTTCTCTAAAAATAGTTAAAGGGTTTAGCTAAGCGAGTGACATAGTGGTGTGGCATTAAAATCTTATCGGCAATTGCAGCCGATTTCTTATACAAATCGCCTGCGTGTAAAGAATTAAATCGTTCATAACTTACAAACTGCAATGTAAAACAAGCTGGCAAGCAACATTAGGGAAGGGCGTAAAAGTTAAGAGAATTGCGCTTTGTTCAGGATTAATGATCCTGTGATCTTATCAACAACCAACGTTGCATATACCAACGCTTTAATGTATTTTTGAACAACGTATTCATTTTCCAAATTCAACACGAATGGCATATAAATATTTCTCGTAATTACGTAATATATATGCGCAAAATTCGTTTCAGTTTATCTTTCACGTGTTTAATGATTCTCTGCCGAAATTATTACGATCGAAATTATTCAAAATATGATGAAACGTACGTATTGTTGCAAAAGAAAAGAAAGAAAAAAGCAAATGAATACTTATGTATCTTATCTATGTGTCTGTCATCTCACCGTTCCCATTTCACTAATTATTTTGATAATTTAGAAGATAAACTGTCGAAGTCGATTTTGCGACACTATATTGTACTATTGTAGGAGCCGAGGAAAAATGAGGGCTCCGGCAACGGGAATCAAATCCACAACACTTGTATCCTGCGATTGGCCAGCCGCACCTTAATAAACTTTGCCAATGCGCCCTCGCTAATTCCTCGTTGTTATTGCTCCTTTTCACGGGTATGGAGGCCTCGGCCCCACACTGTTACAAGGTAATATTTATATGCCATCCGTTAAATTTAGAAAGTTACGAATATATCACTGTGATAGCTTGATCTGTGCCACCTTTTTTCTTTAATAATCTATAGGGACAATGAAACTTAGTCAGGTAGTACATTTGTAAGCACCAGATATGTACTTACTGTTAGGGCAAGGACTAATGCAAATAGTATTCTGACGTGAATCTTCTTGACGATGAGTATATATGTAGCTCACGTCAATCTTTTTACTATTTGTCCACTTTTTATCACATTATTTGCATACTGTTCTCCTTCTTTTCCATTTCTCCCCTTCGATTCCTTTGTCATATCAATCTTAACAAGTTCAACTCCACATTGTGCATGATAGGAGAGCGGCGTAGTTATAAGATAGCATGGATATAAGAATAAGACAATTTTTTTAAATTTACAGTGGATATTATTATTTAGCCTGCTATATAACTTTATTTTTTATATAAGATTTATCATTTATTAGCAGGTTCATCATTTTCCAGTTTAAATTATGCTTTTAAAAATATAATTGGAAACATATATGTGAACTACCAGAACATGTTAATCACTTCTTTTATCAGTCCTGAAACTTTCTTGCAAGTCTTTTCTTTTTGTTCTCCCTCTGTTCTTAATACAATGCACATTTTATAATACTGTGTTTCTATTATAATATTATCCCATTTAAATTATTGTACAATAACTACCAGTAATTATGTATTATTAATATAATAGAAATCAAACTTCAGACTGTAAAAAAACTTTATCGCTGCTACCACCATCGTTTAATTTTTCCAAAAAAAAAAAAAAAAAAAAAAAAAAATGTTTTTACAGGGAAACCCGAGTCCCTCTACAATTGCACGCTGTCTAATCAAACGACCGACTCACTCTCCGTGGAATGTTGCGTTGGTTTCGACGGTGGTCAACCGCAACACTTCCTTCTTGAAGTCTTCGATCGGCATACGGGGATATTGCAAGCGAATATCACGTCCAAGGAGAATGCTGCTTTCACTGTTCATGGATTAGGATCTGGCAGAATTCTCAACATGGTTTTATACGCCGTAAACGCGAAAGGAAGAAGCGAGCCGACTTTGTTAGAAGGATTTACATTGAAAATCGCTGAGAAGCAAACTGGTAAATGATGTCATACTGTTCTTTCACGTTTTCATAATACTGTTTCTTTTTCATCGTATTATCTCGGATCTTCTCGCCTCTTTGATAGATACATTTTGAATGAATGTAACAGTGAATAAAAAGTATAATAACAATATAAAAAATGACTCACATATTTTGTTTGCAGGTATACCAGTGCCATTCGAAATTACTCCACTATTGGGAAGCCTGATCGGAGTAGTATTCGCATTACTTTTCGTTACTATTACTATTCTAGTGGCTATGAAAATTAGAAACGAACGGAGAGCTCAAAGACCGAGTGATCTACCACTGAAGAAGAGCACAGCACCGAGTTCCGAAGATTTATACGATACCGACGACAGGAATCCGGATGTCGTACCAATAAATAAAGGTATATAATATCGTAATATATTTACTTGAATATCTATGTATTAAAAATTATCAATTCATAGATATAAAAGTTTCTACCTATTAAATTTTTTTAACCAGTCTTAAGATATTTTCCTGACACAATAAATGAATATAATAACAATGATGATAAATCTAAAGGTTCAGATTACCAATTGACGGGATCAATATCCGGCACTCCTATGGCCACACAAAATACACCAGATGGACTTCCGTCAACTTCGCTTTCTATACAACAGGTGACACACCTACAAGGATTGTCACCGTATTCGCACGAATATAATAATTATCCAGCATTATCGGTAAGTTATATCAATTCTAGTAGGTTGGTTTGTTTTAACAAGGAGTAAATTATCTTTTCTTTCCATTTTTGTAGAGTAATTTTGTAATTTTAATCAATTGTACTTATAGTAACTGAAGAGAACCTTATTTTATTCGAGAAGACAAATATTAAGAATTAGATTTTAAGATACGGAGACTGGGACTTCGAAATTTTTTTGACATCCGTGTACCTGAAAGAGAATATTATTCAATTCTTCTTCATATTTCTATTCTTCAAATTTTCAAAGTTGTTTTTCAATTTTTTTTTCGATGAAAGTGAAATCTTAAGATGCGAATAATAAAATAAATCCAATGGTACGCAGTATTAAAATTGCAATGAAAATGAACTAGCTTATATTTTTTCTTGTGGTGCCACGTTCCTAACGTACTTACTTTACTTCTGATTATCAAAATATATAATATCCATTTGAATGATACCAACCTGCTCGCTATATTCATGAGTTTTGTTAAATTATTGAGTCAGCATGTTGCCTTCGAATATTATGTTTATAATATTATATTAAATAGAAAAATTGAATAATATCATCGTTGAGCCATCCGTCTGTTATTATTTAGGAAGTGGTCTATCTTTGTCTCTGTCCTTTGTTTCTCTTCTCCTCTTAATGATTTCCCTGACTCTAGATAATTGTGCAAACAAATAAATTTTTTTAACAGCAGATTATATGAATAAATTCCTTAGTTTGTGAAATTATATAATAATGTCATTCATTTGTTTTTCAATTTCATTCTAATCTTTTTTAGTTATCAGACGAAGTAACGTACGCTGAACTATGCCTGACACGTCCATCAACACTATCAACATTAGTAAACGATACGAAATTGATTGGTGGAAGTGGAATTGGCAATTTAAGTACACTCGAAGGTTATAGTAGTGAGGTGATCGTAGGTGGTAAACCATGCACGAGGGAAGCCACGATTTATGCTTGCATAGATCACAATGCAAGACCGTTGAAGATCGATCCTCCATCTACTTCGCCGTTCACATTGGCATCTCTGTCGACAAGAAGTACATTCCAGGACTGTAATGTTTCGACGATGAATAGCAAACACCCGACGAGAGAAATTGTTACGGTGCGTACACCGTTAATATCAACGCAGGAGAGTTGTGTATAGGGATGCGATCCTGACGCGCTGAATATCAACGAATATTACGTTTGATTCGACGTGCGCGTCTAGTTTATTAAATGTGGTTCTTCAACCATTTGTGCTATAATGAAACGTACATATATGCTATTTGATATGCGACAAATGTGTAAAGTAGTTAACGAAATTAATGTCAGGTGGACTGATCAATCATTAATTGTCAAATATTAATACGGTAGCGAAAGAATACAAAGGAACGACGAGTCCTCTTAATATATTAATAATAAAAAGCGTGATATTAATGTTAAACTACAAATTGTTCAAGGATATTGATAAGTTGAAGTTAAATTTGGTCAATAAGACTGATTTGAATGTTACGTGATTTTTTATCTACCGAGTGCCCATTATCGTAAGCAACTAAATTATTTTTCCTTGTGAACTGAGGATGAAAAAGTACTTGTGGCTGCATGATTTAAGGACGAATTTTTAATATCAGATGGACATTTCAAGCTTATTGCAACTATAATTAATTAACCAAAGTGCAAAAAATCAAGATTACATTGATTCTCAACTTTTGAGTGAAATTAATATATGTTACATCCTTCTCATTATAAATATCAATTGCCATTTTTTCACCCCAGGGTCCATATTTGTCGAATAACGATGGCGTTAAGCATAATAGATCAAACTCGTACTTGAAAATGAAAAGTTTCATAAGTGATCTTTATCCAAGATATCTTAATTTATCATTCATTATGTGATGGTGGAAACTCACGGTATTGTAAAAAAAATGTTAATATCACAATATAACATCATTATTCAGACAATCTAAAATCCTAAAATGATCTGCAAAAATACCTCGAATCATGCAACCTTCCAATCATTTTTTTACGTCTTTAATAACAATAAAAAATCTAAGTGTTCATGATTTGGACATTACTGTGTATATATCTTCATATTATTTAATTTGTTATGCCAGTATAATTATTAGAACACAAATTTCAGAAAAACGTTTAACAATTTAATATATGTAATATTTGGATTGTTTTATTTTAATAGGATTTAATGAATTTTCAGCGGAACTGAAAAATTCAATAAAACTGATTAATCAAAACTGGGATCATAAAATGATTTGATATTTAAACATGTTATAAGTATTATTTTTAATATTCACGCATATGTGTACCATTTAATATAAATAACATTAACAAATTTTTATTTCAACTCGAATTTGATGTGGCAACACTAACATGTTCATAAAAAATATGTATTATAAAAAGACGGTAAAAGTATATGGTAAAAGTTGGAGTGTGGCCAGAATATATGAATTGTTTTGTAATGATTTATTCGCGTTTATAATTAGTATCTATGTGTGTGTGTGTGTGTGTGTGTGTGTGTGTGTATATATATATATATATATATATATATATATATATATATATATATATATATATATATATACATATATATATACATATATATATGGTATAATTTTTAAATTTTTTTCATACCTCATACTTTTACAAACGCATTTATAAACGAACAGTGCTTCTGCTATGTTTACATGTACCAAATTTTATTTTAAGTTTATTAACTATAAATTTTCTATTTTCTATTACTCTGTATATCCTTGCTTTTGATATATGTATACACATTAGGATTTTGAAGGAAATGAAGATTTTCTAATCCTATGTTTTGGCCTTTTGTTTTGGGCCTTCTTTGGCCCATGGATAATTTAAATCCATGACAAAATAATACGTTTAATGAATCAACTTAATTGAATAATATGGAAAAAACCTTAAGGATCTCATAGTTTTACATATAAAATCCCATGAGCTCAATTGTTCTTCCAAGTTTTTCAATTGTCGCACTGCTTTGGATTTGCTATTTTTGAAAGTAAAATATGTAAAATAGATATGCAAATATAAAATTAAAGAAACTTACCAAATAATATTAATTTGTGTATAATTTGTGATTCTTCGTTGAAATATGTTTTCAGTGTATATTATCAGATTAATGCTCAAAAACTAAGTACCTGTTCTAAATTACTCAACAGTTACTTCTATCTTCAAAGTAACAAATGTTTCAATCTCGTCTAATAACAATTTATATGAATTTTTATATATTGTTGGATCAATGAATTTATAGGGACCAAAATATTTTTATGTATTTCTTGTATTTTTATTTACTAGTCAATTTTTACTATTTAGAATAATAATATTTTATCCCATGTTCGATAAATATGATGAAATATTGGAAAAATTTCTCTAGCTTGCTACTCTCCATAATATAATGGAGAACGAGAGAAAGAAAAATGAAATATTGCAAATTACGTATATTAATAATTGTGAGCTATTACAATCCACAGCAGCTTCCACTATTTTTTTAAATACTAGAAATTTTGCTAGATATATGTAGGATTTTATATGTAAAACTTCAAGGTTTAGAGGGTACGATTTTCCAGCACGTATCATCTATTATTACATACATTATTTTTTTACGAATTGAGTTTATTATGATAGTACACAAACAAGATATTTCTATGTCTAAACTCGAAAATTCAAAATTCGATTAATAAGAACTGTCTGGATGTATATAATTCAAATATCTAATGCTTCTTTTAAAACACTGTTTGCACAATGAACTCATTTGTAAATATGTAATAAGAATAATATTAGAATGGAAACTCTGTAAAAAATAAATGATAAGAACGTTTCGTAGCTTTTCCTTAATTCTCGAGATAGAATCTGATATCCCCAGGTTCTCTTAAACCCTTAAACTTTTAATTTTAGGATTCTTTTTATCAGCTTTTCTTGTATGTTTTAGAAAAACAAAGAAATAATCAAAATATTAATTTTTATAAATAAATAACATCTTTTTCATATCTTTTCTAATTCGATCATCATTCAATTTATTTCTAGTTGTGCTTTCTACATTTCTTTGATAAAGATAGAACAAAAGCATTCTTATTTCCCAAGCAAACTTGAAAATATTTTATAAGAGAGCGACGAAAATGTTTTCAGTATGTAACAGTGAATACGACAATAAATAATTTTTTGAGAATTTTTTGGGAGAAATAACTCTGGAGTTATCCAACTTATCGGACAAGGACACCCTTCCTAGTTTGTATTATTCTTAAAACATGTAAATAAAACATGTAACATTAAAATATGAACAAAATTATTAAATAGTAGAACAAAATTATTAAATGATAGGGACTGGAATAAAATAACATTTAATGAAATTATTATATTATTTCTCATTAATAACACTTTACTGTATCATTGTCCCCTTGATGATCATGATGCCTTCAAGATCGGATCTAGACAAGCGATTCTCAGAAATATCATAGATCAGTAAAATATCAAATCGGATTTCCTTCCACTTTGATAAATAATGAGAGATCGCAAAATTTCAAGTCTGATGACTGAAATGAACGTAAACAATTTTTAGTAATTTGGTTATATTAGAAATTTTTGAATTACAAATGAGATTTGTATTTAAGCATACACCGTGTGGATCACTCCTAGGATAGGAACTAATTTAAATTGTTGTCCTTATCGCACACTATTGCCCTCTTTGTCTAACGCGTCTATATGTCTGTCCTTGTTTCACGCTATCGCCCTCCTTGTCTATCGCGGTTATATCTCTGTCCTCGTCGCACGCTAGTGCTCTCCTTGTCTAATGACGCTAGACAAGGAAAGCAACAGTGTGCGAGAAGGACAACCTTCGATCTATTGCAAAAAAAATTCAACTTCTTAGACACACGGTTTTCCACAACAAAACACACATGGAATGAAAGCGGGGAGCCTAATTTTAAGGAGGCATATGAAAAAGTTCACAAATGATTCCTCTTAATTAATTTCTTCTCGTAATTTGTAAAAAAATTGTCATCTGTCATTGTTTAAAGGCCATGGTGGCGCCATCTATTAATATCTCGGTGGTACTAAAAACAGAATTTTCTACTTTTAGTACCACTTGGTTATTAATAGATGGCGCCACCTGTCTGTCAGAACGCGGCGCTAGTGTTTCTTACCCCGTAAAAACGGAGAAATTTTCATTTGCGAAAAAACCTAATTTAGCGAAATGAATTGTGAATTTTGGCGATTTTATTACCCTAATTAGACCCTTAGCTTTCTTTTCATATCTCATTTGACCCATAAAATGCAGAAATAAGTATTTTTATAAATAATTAGTACCACTGCGTTGCCACTAGATGGCGCCACGATGTCCATTTTATGACAGTGCGCACTAATTACTAAAAAAATCTAATTAAAAAGAATAATTTATGAACTTTTTCATATGCCTCTTTAAAATTAGGCTCTCCGCTTTCATTCCATGCGTGTTTTGTCGTGAAAAAACGTGTGTGTAAAAAGTTGAATTTTTTTTCAATAGATCGAAGGTTGTCCTTCTCGCACACTGTTGCGTTCCTTGTCTAGCGTCATTAGACAAAGAGAGCACTAGCGTGCGATAAGGACAGAGATATAACCGCGATAGACAAGGAGAGCAACAGCGTGTGATAAGGACAGACATATTCACGCGGTAGACAAGGAGGGCGATAGTGTGGAACGAGAACAGACATACTCGAGTGGTAGACAAGGAGAGTGATAATGTGCGACAAGGACAGCAATATAAATTAGTTAGAAATATATATTTAATTTCATACAAAATATAAAAATAATAATATATCAAATTTTACAATTTGTTTTGCTTTCGGGATTACGAGAGAAATGATTGTAATTATAGAAGATGAGAAACTAATTTTTTTTTATAGAAAGAATCATTTATGGTGATTCACTTGATTGCTATTTTATGTCTAAACGAGTTCAAATATGTTTCATTGCGTTTGTGGTATTAAAACTCGAGAGTCTTTTGATTGATATCTCACATTCACAACAGATTAAACAGTCTTCAAATATTTTATTTATGGTTGCTAAAACAGGCTCGTAGAATTACGGCCAACATCATTTCTGTTTCTAATTTATTAATGATTGTACAAATATCACACACGCATCAAACTTTTTATATCAAACTTTATAAAACTTAGGATAATAGTTACACAATCGATAAAAAGCAATGAAAATATACTTTTGACTTTAATAGTCATAAAATACAGTATGTATATTACTTTATTGAATTTTTATAATAACATTGTAACGCGCCGCAGATTGTGTTACAGAGGTAGATATTTTATAATATAATGACAACTTATACAACCGGTGTATTAACATGAGAATGTGGAAGTTGGACGGAGTGATGTAAAGCGGGCAGTGATAACAAATGTCCGCGTTCCATTTCATTTATTTCTTGCTGTTCGGCTCCTCCTATTGAACCAGTGGAACGTGCCAGACTGTTACGTTGTCTGCACAAATACGGTGTTTCTCCTGGCGATGGAGTTTCACGACCCTGTAAGAAACATACATTACATTGTTGCAAGAAAGTGAATCTTTGAATTTAAAAATTAGAACATTCGATTCAAAAATTATCAAAACATATACATGAAAATATTAAAGTACGTATAATAGATATTAAATAAAAATAAATAAACAATCAAAAGGTCAATTCTACCAAAATGACTAATCTTTCACAACAAAGAAATATATTTATTATACATTTAATAACAAAATAAATTATGAATTAAAATAACTTATAAACAATTACAAGGTAAGGGCAACAATTTGGCAAAAGATAAATCATTGTTTAAAAATAAACTGCTGACTGATGAAATTTTTAATCAAGGGCCAAGTAAATCTTAAGTATATATATTACTGGTTCATGGAAAGTCTGCAGTTTATATATTGTTTAGACGGATAATTACAAATTGTTGAATTGGGCATGGTGAAGGTAAATCTTCGTCAGCTTATTCAGTGACTTGTATAATTGGAGCTTGTACTGTTAATATATCAGCGATTAATATCTTTTAATGCAAACTTGAACTTGCATTAATTATAATAATTATAATAATCTAATATAATATATAATATAATGTATAGTATATAATGTTAAAATAACTTAAAATAAGGTAATTATGTTAAAAAAAATTTTTTAATATTAAATCATATGTCATCGTGCGAAGAAATTATACAAATTTGAACACAACTGTCGCCAAATCAATAATCATTAACTATTATATTATAAGTATTTAGTATTGAATATTTCAATACTTTTTAACGAGACCAAAAGATTTTTATTAATAACATTTTTTATTAATATTATAATAGAAATTCTTTTGAAAAATTATTTTAAAAATCCAAAGATTAAATTTTTCTGAGTTCTTGGATGACTAAGTAGAAGCGAAAAAAGAAGAAAAAATAATTAAAAATATCCTATTAAATTTATTAATGCTTGAATTAGAAAATTTTCTTTAAATATTCATAAATATCCTTGCACTTGATATTATATTACATTTTCAAGAATGATTTTTCTTCATTTCGACAAAGTACAGCTTATTACATATAAACAATTACGACTTCAGTGCATCCTATCAATCAATTGTACAACACTGGAACAATCAAGCATAAACAACAAATAACAGTTACCTATAACTGTATTTGAATCTGATTTAATAGCTTCTATGCATCGTCCAAGACATTTTGATTTAGGGGAGGCAGAAGGGGAATTTGTATTTCTCTTCCAATTATACTGCGGAAGCGAAGGGGCAGATTTTAAGTCAATCGATTACTTGTTCAAACGTAATATACATACCTGCTTAGAAGGTCCGCAACATGTTGCATGATTACAAGGCTTGTCAGTCTTTGGACAATCTAGTACACAATCTTCAGTTGGTGTTTCCTTGACCTCGCTATTAGAATGGTACTAGAATATTAATAATGTAGAATTAGAATTTTAATATTATGCTTAATATTACATAGAATGCACATTTTATGCTATAATTCATTTGTTCTTTAATTGATATTTTGATGACAGTTACTTTTGGGAATATTTTCAAATTTTATATCCATTTGAGATTGACCTTGAGAATTTTTATCTTCAGATAAATGGTCGAGAAATATTTATATATATGTGTGTGATGTATAAATTACTTACGTCAATAAATTCAGGCTGAATTGTAGTAGAGTGTATGCCCTCGTTATGAAAAAATTCTTTTACTTGCTCTGCAATTTTCATATATTCTGACAGATTCCTACATCTTATATGCGCTGAAGCGATAATACGATCACCAGCTAATTGCCACACATGAAATTCATGTACAGCCAAAACGCCATCAACATTTTCTAGTAAACGTTGTTGAATGGCATCCACCTAGAATAACAGATATGTTGCAGTTGAACAGTATATAATAATAACTAAACTATATAAATTAATTTTAAACTATAAAAGAAAATTGTATGTGCTGTCAATCTTCATTTCATAAATGTTACTATTCAAATTACCTGAATATGTGTCGGTACGGTCTGCAATAAAATCAATGCAGATTCCTGGAGTAATGGCCATACCGATTGTAGAATAAGAATAACTATTAAAAGCGAGAGAGCTGGGTCAATGTAAAATCTGTAAAGAAAATAAACAAATTATGATCACAAACATTAAGATCATATCATCGAAAGTGAAAGTGCAAATTAATACAAATTAATAAGTATGGTTGCTACAATTTTTTCCATAAATATATAATCCATTATATACTATGGCATGTGTTAGTTATTTAATTACCTGTAATCCCAGTCAGTCAACCAAACAATTAAAGCAGAGACTATCACAATCACAGATCCTAATGCATCTGAGAGTACATGAAGGAACACTCCGCGCATGTTCATTTGACTTGCATCATGTACATGGCCATGTGTCCTTTTGACTTGAGGCGTCGATGGCCTATATGTTTCATCATTTTCATTATCGTCCGTTCCTACTAGAGTACTCAATCGGTTGTGACTTCGAGATATGCCATGCGAATGTGCATGAGAACTTCTGTGTTCTACAACAAGAATTATATGATCATATACAAGGAAAAATATTAATTTCCAAATATTATTATTATCATTATAATCTTTCATATCTTCTTACGTTCATTACATAATAAGTACCAATATTTACTTATAGAGCTTAATGTATTGATACAATGATAAAATACAATGAAGAGCATAACTGTACTAATGACAATAAAAAATTCTAGACAATTTAAACTACAATAACTTTGTAAAAAAACGATCCACTTGGTCTCATTTTAAAGCGCGAAGCCTCTATTATAATAGTCAGGAGTTCGTTTTTTTTTTTTTCTTTTTTTTAAGATAACTTTAAATCAGGATACTTTTTTCTCGAAAATTATAAAAATTCAAACGTGTGTAAAAACATTGAAAAATTTTTTTGTAACTAGATTTACCATTATTTTGAAGTTTCCTCTTTATAATGAGAAGTTAAAACTTGTTGTATACTTTTTTTCCACTATTTTATTAAACGTTGAATATTAGAATTAAATGACAAAAATTGAAGAAATCCTAACATTTCATCATCTAAAGTTGAATAAAAAAAAATGGTGAGAAAATATCATACGGCGAGTTTCAAGAGATCGTTGTAAAGGGGAAATTTCAATTTTCAAGACAATGGTGGATTTAATCGTGGAAAAAATGTTTTCTGTTGCTATACATGTTTGAATCTTTACAATTTTCGAGAATGAAAGTATCTCCCAAGTGAATCGCGATATTTTTCGTAAAGTTATCTCCGTTTGAATTGTTGGCAATTTTTCATTGTCACTGACACAGTTATGCTCTTCATTGTATCTCTTACAGTTATGACGATTATTTACATTATGAAAGAATTTTCGAACGTTACTCATCTACGATAAGTAATATCGTTCTCACAATCGGCAATATTTACCATGGAAGAGACATAGTCCAATAATATTCACTAATAAGCCAAGTGCCCCGACTCCTACAAGCAGTTTTGCTTCATGTATCTCTTCAACCTCAATAAATCTTTTACACGCTTCCACAGTAATACTGAAACACAATGCGACTAAAAAAACGGCGTTTACTAAAGCTCCTAAAACTTCAGCTCTGGCCCAACCAAATGTATTCTTAGACCATTTCTTTGGTGACATCTGTGAAAAGAACGAAATTTCCAAAGTAATATTTATTTACAAAAATATTCGAAAGAAAAGATCAAAGAAACGTTTAAAAAGATTAATAAAAGTTTCTGGTATACAGTCATGTTCTTTTAATACATTTGTTTATATAAATGTATAGTATAAATCCAAAATTAATGCCAAATATGCTACCGCTACTTAATCATATCTCGATTAAACAAAACTTTTCTCCTCGCTTTTGTTCTCTAAAATATCTTCTTTTAAAATATTTCAGAGAGACCAACGCAAAGTGTAAAATTCATAATTGTAATATTAATCGATTAAAAGTCAGTGAATTGTAATGCAGAATAAAATTAAAATAAAGTAATTTGATATTTACCTTTACGGAAAGAAATGCAACAATCAAAGCTGCTACATCCGACAACATATGAAAACTGTCAGCTATTAAAGCCATACAGTTTGTTAGATAGCCCACAATTATTTCGACTAAGAAAAATATACCAGTGAGCCATAACATCGTTAACAAACGACATTTTTTTCCTGTGTAACGACCCATACCGTTGATACCTAAGAATCAATATTTCAATTTTATACAAAAGCAATTAGACGATATAAACAAATATAAAATATCATAAAATCAGAGTTATTTTACATTTATCAACTCAACTTCCTGGAAAGCACAATTTCTATGGAAACATATAGTGTTCACACAAAGTGAAATTCTATTTCTCTAATTTGCTTTCTTTTTTTTAAACATCACGCTTTTATTACATTATCAATCAAGCTCGATATTAAAATTGTATTTTTACAACGAATATCAATTTTTTCAAATTTATTAAAAATCGGCAAATTTTCTTATTAATACATCTTTACATTTTGTAAAACAAAGACTGCCAAACTAATCTTTATTTCTTCTCCCTTCTCTTATTCGGCAATGGCAGTCTGATAACATCAAAATTTATGAAATAACGTGAAATCACGTTGGCGACACACAAAAACATAACAGTAAAATGGCGTGAATTCATGTCAGCAACTCAACGTGATTCATTCAGTCACGAAACAACGAAAGAAATTACATTAACACTAAGAAAAATGAAGATACCTTTCTACCTTGAATTTTGTTAAAAATTGGCTGTCGTCAAAATCATTTGAAATACAGCTGGAATAAGTAGAACTTTTATTCAACAAAATATACTTTACAAAAGATTGATGTGAGAAACGTCTATGAAGAACCAACAAGATAGACTGAGAGCTCTGTCAGGACTTAGTATTACCTAGTTGCAGTTAGGGCACGTACTTGTATAGCTATGATGCACAGGTAGTATGTAACCTTAACTGTGCAATCTTTTCGGTCAAAGTGTTTAAAGAAGAAAATGATGTTCAATATTTTGCCTTCTCCCTTCGAATATGTTCGATCCTACAATATACTTCAGGTCAGTTGGAATTTCCAATGCCCACAAAAACTATTTTGTAAGTCCGACGAAGAAGAGAGGAAAGAACCGAGTACTGCACGTTGCAAGTGCGATGAAAGATTGTTATTGCACGTTTTACGTTTCGTATTATATCTGCTTATATTATACTGCAATGAAGCTTAGGAACGTACTAGCTTACTATAAAAAACTTTGTATAATCATCCGCAACGTGCGCGCAACGAAAATATGACAGGAAGAGATAATAAAAATTACGAAAAATTCGTGTTCGACGGCAAAAAGAACATTTCACTGCTTCAAAACTGCTGACTGTGAACAAGTATCATATTAACCAGTTCATCTCAGATTTCCTATCCTCCAAGTAATCATCATCGTGCTAGGATCACTCCTTTAATCCCTCTCAACGAAGATTGTTTTTCTAAGCAAAAAAAATAAAAAATAAAAAATTTTTGTAGAATTTTATTCAACCAATAACAATTCGATCGATATAAATTTTATTTTATCCAGTCTTGTTAAAGGGTTCAGAAAATTACTAATATTTTTTTTCTTCTCTAGCACATACAAGATCATGGAAGAGGTGCATTTCTTTGTGCATTTATCACTGATTTAAATCAGTACAGTATTAGATAACTTCGTTCGAAATCGGTACAATTGTGCAATAGTTACCAAACAGATTGTAGACCCGGCTCAATCCAATCTCTTTATGCAACAGCGAATGTAGAAAAGGATAGCAAACGAATCGAATATGATATTAAAAAAATTGAATTAATCAAAAAAAAATTGAAAACAAAGATATTCGCGTTATCTGTGAAGTATTAATACCAAGGCCAATATGGATTTCGAAAGATAAAATCTAAATAATAGTAGTTGATCCTCCAACGTGTCCACCATTGTAAAAGGCTGAATTTTTATAATCTATTTAAAAACTTTCATTTTTATTATTCCTTTTTTCTTTTCTGTCATGTTTTTGGAATAATGTAACTAGTTCAACGTATTTATGAAGCTTTATTATTTAGCTGAATTCGAACGACGTCACGAAGGAGAACAACATCGAGAGAAATTTTTTTTCCCTGATATTATTGGCACGTTATCGAAAACATCGAATAAATACTAATTCCATAGTAGGTCGTAACAGATCAAAAAAATGTATCAATCTGTGATCACTAGATGAATAAAATCATCGACAATGATTGTCGAATAAGGAAAGTTGTATTCACCACTATCCCAGGCCACGATCCACCACTACTCACTTCAAAGTAATATTCAAAACATTCAAAATTGAATAAAATAATCAAAAAAGCTAACTGAAGTGCTTATACCAAGTTACATAAAGAAAAGTAGACAAACTTTAAGAAAACTTTGCTGCCATCTCGAGGATAATGCCAAACAGATAAGTAACGATTTCAATTAATTTCAAAGAAACAATTATTATAGAAGCAGAATACACAGCCGTTCCGAAAGTAAGAGAGCCGAAAGCAAGAAAGAGCCTTCGAGTTCGAAACAAAAATCAGGAAATCCCGATTGACGATATCAGACACACATATAACACGCAATAATGTAACATGTAAGCAATCAAGTCGAGTACAAGAGATTAAAAATTTGTATATTGCAAAATTATCAAACAAAGCGAATAGAACCAATCCAGACAGAAGCATGAACGTTTCAGTAAAAAAAAAAAATCAATGATCGTGTGAACATTTGAACGTGTCGAACATTAAAAATCAACGGGACAATGTTATATCAAATCGCCGCCCTTCCTACCCAAAACTTTCGTCAAAAAAATTCGAACGATTGAAATTTTGACCAAGATTTCCTCGAGTTAGAGAAAAAGAGGTAAACAGATCGACAAAAATAGCAAATCGAACTTATAAGCAATTATCATAAACACAGCTACACGAATTAATTTCAACTCTAAATTCTATGAAAATATATATCAAATTCAGATATCCGAGCGAAATATAAGAAATACATCTTTATTTAAAAAAAATTACCAGAGAAAGCATGGAAATACCTGCTGAAGCTATATAACTGTATATGGACCAACATTTTCCCAAACAAATGACATGAAGCCATTGTAATACCCATCTTGAGAAACCTGGAAAAGAAAAATGTCTCACGTACAATTACCGACCTATCGAGCTTAATTAACTGAGAAACAGGGAGGGGGGAGAGAGAGGGAGGGGAGCGATAAATAAACGACTCCGATGATACACTCAAACAAGTATAACATTATCACGGATTACCAAAATGATTTCAGATCCAATCAATCAATTATATAGTAGATAACAACGTAACATTAGTATCTAGCACATGCAACGGATTTTATCAATAATCACTTGATATAATAATTTATCCCGATATCGAACGCAGAGTATGTGAAAATAACTTTGAAGAAATGAACGAATATTTCCTTGGTGTCAGATATACTCGAATTGATCTCTGTCTGACTACTAAAGAATGTCAAATGGAGCCCTAAAGTGCTCAACTCTGAATGCTGCCCTGTATTTCTAATGTTTCACATTCGACAACAAGTGAAAATCTTTAAACATACGACAAAAATATTGCTCCAAAATACAATGAACAAATCCCAGAAGTTTACGGGAAGAAATTGGATTTAAATTCTTAAAAAGCAAAACTATCGTTATTGTCTCTTCTTCGGTATAAGCAGAGAAAATAAAAAGCTACTGATCTAGCTGGTCGTAATTAAAATAAAAGTTTCTCGACTAACGTTCAGACAAAATCTCAACTGGACTCCCGAGATAAAAAAACTTTTCAAAATGAACGCGATGAAATATAGTAAATAGCATAACCTTGACTAACAAAAGTTAAAGAAACCAAATGTAAGATACTAATCAACGTATAATCGTACGATCTGATCCAGATAAATTACGAAATCATTGTTACATCTCTCATCTTTCTGTATTTGAAATAACAAACACTATTCTTGTTCTTGTCCACCAACACTCACTCAAAGGTCTGAATGATTACGGAGGCATTTCGAATAATCAGCCCAGAAGATCAAGTGGTGGTGCGAGGATTGGGAACATGGTGAACGCAAGTTCTGACACATTAATTTACAGAAACCCTTCAAAGTTGAAACACCTTTTATTCACATCTATGTCTTATCGGGATCACTCCGCTGAAACACTCGACAGGTTTACTATCGATACACTTGTCTCAGACAATCACGTGTCAATTGCAAGACAAATACTATTAACATTAAGACGTTTCAGAGAATCGATAATCCGATGTTGTTGAAAAATCGTTCGCAATTAAAGATATACGCACGAGTCTCGATCGTTCCAACATCGCGAAGAGCACGCGTTGTTGAAACACAATAGATCTCAAACACATACATATATGACCAACATATCTCAAATCCGCGATTTACATGAAATTAGTTCCAGATACAAGATACGTAAATGAAGGATCCACTTGCCATGTCAATGAACCCTCCTTCCTACAACATTAATTCATCGCGTCAGTTTCGCGATCAAAGGAAAATCGCGTAAATTTATCTACATCACCGCGAATGATAAAAAAACAAAGCAACCGCTTTGAACAAAGGAGCTACAAAAATTGGATAAAAAAAAAATGAATCAAAATTCTTTGGTTAAAGAAGAGTTAGAATTAAAGTTAGAGTTTTTAGAATTATTCCAACGAATAATGGAAATATAGTTTCAACAAATATTGATCCAACGATCCAAAAATAAGACACGGTGGAAATAAAAACAAAGAGAATCATGTGGTATAGAGTGAGATAAATATTCTTATATTCTATATTCTAAATATATTAAACATTGATCAATTTTTCAGTTTGATTAGTGCTCATATATATGTAACGTGTTAATCTAAATTATAATAATATTAGTAACCAAGAAAAAAGAGGGGAACCTGTATTAATAAATATTTTACTTACCAGCTTTAACATTCTATTTATTGAAATTATAACAACTACGAAAGTACGCTCTTCAATAAATTCAAAGCATCTCGCATGCTCGAAAAGAGAAGATTCGAGATTAAAATTCTACTGTCCCTATTGAGGAATTTCATTAGTAGAAATCTTACAGAAAGATATATTTTAAAATATAATTTTTATTTTCCCTTCAGATTCAAAGTGTCTACTAAAATGTCTGA